ATAGATAAAGAGAAATCCGGATTACAAAGGTCTAGAACACAGTGTCTGCGGAATAAAACTAGATAAAAACTTGTTTGCGAAAATGTGAAGTACATGCTACTTATAGCCAAATATTCCGAAACCCTAATACTTAAAACGACGAAGTATTGGGATGGATTAAGAAGTGTACTCGACCCATGTGGTCGAGTGAGAGGTCGAGTGAATAGCTGGAGTCTTCTTTTCTTCCTTCTGCTCGAGTGTCTGGTTGAGTGCGGAATGAAGAAGACTCTGAAGCTCGCAATCAAGTATGTAGTCGAGTGGTGGTGATGGTGATACTCGACTTCAAGGTAGAGTGGTGAGATCGAGTAGTGGTCTGGTAATGGAGGTGAAGATACTCGACCTCGGGGTCGAGTGATGTGATCGAGTGATGGTCAGGTGATGGGAATGAAGACACTCGACCGCGAGGTCGAGTGTCTTCTACTCGACCAGGGGGTCGAGTGGTCTGCTGAGGTTGTGAAGCTTCTACTCGACCTGAGGTCGAGTGGTTTTGCATGATCAGGTCCGCTTCTTCCAATTAGCTCGTCAACAGCTCTGAATCACCTGAAAACAACACAAATATGCAACATGCATGCAAAACTATCCTAAACATGCAAAGTGATGACAAATGATGAGAAATGGTATAAAACAGTGATGATATGATGCTAAAGTGATGACAAATGGATTCTCAAAACATGCAAAATACACACTTATCAGCCGGCTCTTGAGTTCAGCAATAGGTCATTTTCCCCAATAGAAGGGCCAAACCGTTCTATTGTTGATTCAAAAGCAGCTCGCCCCATGGGTAGCTCATAAAGAATTCCAAATCATGAAGCATCTCAAGAAATGAGCTACTTATCCGATGTTGTTTTCTGTTGCTGCAAACAACAAACCCATCAACCAGGACTATTAATGCGAGACTCAACTTCTTCCATGTTGAGAATCGCTTTCGAGGCTTAGCATTGACATCTCCCCTTAGCATGTCAATAACATCCATGACTGTCACTATACACTTCTCCCCAAATAGGCGATTCCAAACAGATAGACATGCAGGGTCTTGGTGAGCTTCTACCTCAGACTCTGTTGGAAGCTTATCACAATTCAAGCCGGTTCTGATTTGGAATTCTTGCAGAGAGAATCAGGGTGGAAACCCCCCATATACAGTCCACAATTCATGCTTTCATTGTGTCAAAAGTTGTCTAGCAAGCATTCCATGAATAAATTTTGCAGAATGAGAACACCTTGCAACATGCAGTTTAACCTATTTCTTGAACTGGGAACCAAGCAGCACATCCCAGGCCTAGGAGCCCTCCAATAGTTCCACCAGTGTTCCCTGATATTCCGGCTTCGAGTATATGTTGAGGCGAACCTTATCTCGGAATTCGTCAGGATGCATCAGACGGCAAGGGAGTCTAGGGTTTGGATCGGAGCCTCATTTTCTCCGCCTTTCGTTTTATCCTGAGTCTCCGTCATCTCATATTATTCATTACAGATTCTCTCAAAATCCAAAAACTTTCTGACTCCAGCAACAAAATGAATAAAGCATAATCGTTTTACCTTTGCTAGAGTCGTTTATGTTGCCTCGTTTATACTCCCTTTTGATATCGCACCGCGACTGGTCTTTATTCATATTTTTGGTCATCGATTTTCCCGGAGGCTTCGCCGGAGAAGATGTAATTTTCGATTCACTTGCTACAAAAGTAACAGAATGTTAGATATTTAACCTTAATTTGTATCTAGTTCGACGGAATCAAAGAAATAGATAGGAACCCTAATCTCAATTTTGATTGTATTGAGTTTAAGGAAAGCAGAACTTTTTCGAGTCGGGATTACCTTTGTTTGTTTCCCTTTTTGTGTTTCGTCATTTATTTTCTTGTTTTATTTGGACTGGACTGATTGGAATCTTCGATTTAACTGCTTTCTTCTTCGTCATTTCTCTGAAATTTCGGACCCAACTGAGAAATAAACTATAAAACAGTTGTCTGAGAGAAGTTAAATATGAACAGTCAGGAGAAGAAACCTTGATTACGGTTTCAGTGGCATTACACGTAACTATTTGTGATTCAGAGTTGCAAAAAGGGCTTCACAAAAAATTATACAGTAATGAACTGTACTACATATCCAAATTTAAATAGTAACCGTACTAATTTTCTAATTATTTTCCAAAAACATATTAGTTTGCAAACAAACTCTATAAACTACAACCCATTCCGTTGTTTTATAAGAAAATATATCCAAAAGTTCCACAAAAAAAAAAAGAAAATATATCCAAAAAAAGTAATAATGAAAACGAAATGTTTTCAATTTGTAACGCTTGGTGTTCCAGTTGTTCACGAGAAGGAAAGTGTTGTTTTATGGCTATAATTCCAGGAAATACTGATATCCATGTTTTTTTTACTTTTAATTTTGGTGCTTTTAATGACAAATCATTATCTAACCAATAATATTATTTAAATTTTCAATGCCGGCAGTAATTGTTCCCACCTACGGTTTTAAAATTGAGGAAAACCCAGGTAATGGATGGGAGGGTATGATCAAAGTGGATCCAGAAATAATCCAAGAAGCCAGAGATTCTATAAACTTTTCATTGTGTTTTACGATTGCAGAATATGTCTCAAACGACGAATCCGAGGCAAAAAACAAATTATTCAATTCGTTAATTTCAGCTGGAGTCAATATACATGAATCTGAGGCATGGATAAACAAGAGCATTGATACTGCTAGATGAGTTTTTACTACAACGGATTATTCTTCAGGATATCTCCTCCACTTAATATTTGTCTTTCAATCTCAAACGTATGAAGAAATCAGTCAACGAACTTCAAGCAACTTTATCGTTGATGAGTAAGATATTCATCTTAATGAAGCAATTCGAAGATCCTTGGAAGAAGTAAAAATCAATTTCATACCTGCAAGTAATGGTGCAATCAAGTCTTTGATCATATTTATACAAAATGTTAGTGTAATACTAACAATTGTAAGAACGCGCAATGCGTTATTTGTTTGTCACATTTTTATTTCGGAACAAAAGTAGTCAAATTAAGTTGTGGTCATAGGTTTGATTACACATGTATTGTAAAATGGCTACAGACTAGTCATATATGTCCAATATGTAGGTATGAATTACCAATGTAATTAACGTATTTATTATAAGCGAATAAACTATTAATTTATTTAGTTTCTAATTTCAAGACTTAAAGTATGATTTAACCCAGAAAATATAATCCATGTCATTAGAATATTACGAAACTTTTTGATCCAGAAATGAAAATCTAATAAAATGTAGCACGAAGATAAAAACACAAGCAAATGTAGCACGAGTATGGGGTAGTTTCAGACGGATTCCTAAGATGGTATGGAGCAAATTCTCTTTTCATCCTGAGATGATATGTGATTCCTAGAACCGAATTCAACCCTATCCCCTTTCATATTCATTCGTTCATTCACTCCCATCTTCATCTTTTAAGTACTCTGTTTTGCTAAACCAAAACAGAGCCTCCTTCTCTACATAGCTTCCGTCCCTCATCACATAGGCGACAACAATTGTGAAGAATTAAATAGAACCTACAGTTTTAGAATCGTTGTAATTTGGCTAAAACAAACCGAACTGTGAATACCACCACTATTTTTTCTTTGATAACGTCCCAATAAATTATCACAATTCTCATAAAACAATTTAGTTAATGACAGTCATATCAGTTATTCAGGGCACTTTGAATTCACTTTAATCTTTGTCAACTTTTTCTTTATGGTTAAATGTGATCAGTCTATAACAAATAAATATAGTTTTAAAAATCAGATCTTGATTAAATTTGCGATATGAATATATGTGTGCAACAATAAGACACATACTTGCTCATGATGTAAGAACATATCGCCAGGAAAGGAGACCTCATTTTAATTAACCAGAAAGAACTTTCGAAAAAGGTTTTTTTAAAAACTGATATTCTCTATACTTTAACAATCTCTCTCATAAATCACTTCATCAAAAATCTAATATTTACGAATCAAAGGACTGGTGAGAAAACAGAAAATGTAATAAACAATCAACCGGAGAGATCTAAATCTCTCTCACGACCACCGGCCAATTAACTTCTTATTTAAGCTAGGTACAACAGTTTTTTTGACAAATTCAAGAAAAATCATATATTAACGGAACCAGATGGAACTTTTTTTATTACTGTCATATTGTCGTCTTTTTTTGTATATCCAGCGTGTTCCTACTAAACATTACCGGAAAAAACGTAATTACAAGGAATGCCATTGCCACGTCAGAAATTGCTGACGTGGATTAAATGAACTCAGCCGTAACGCGATACAGCGGCAGTTACGGCTGAGTTACGGTATGTTGCGGCTGACATACGACAAAAATATATGAGTCATAACCAAAATATATGAGTCATGACAAAACGGCGAAGTATGAGTATAACTCAGCCACACATTACTGCTGATTTGTAAAATGTTGCCTGAGTTATACAATAACCCAGACAACGATATGGCTGAGTTAAGGAATGTTGTCCCAGTTATAAGTATTTATAGCATAACCCAGACAACGTGATGGCTGATTTATGAGAAAACGGCTGACTTATATCCTCGTGACGGCTGAGTTATATTTCGGGACGGCTTAGTTATGGGATGATGTTGCGGCTGAGTTATTATCGAGTGTTACAAATCAGCCGTAAAGAGCTGGATTTCCAAATAACTCGGCCTTGTTATGGCTGACTTATGTGCAAAAGATTAATTACTATAATAGCATGCAGTTAGGGCCGAGATTTTAAACGATACGGCTGAGTTAGTTGAGTTACGACATTACACGGCTGACTTAACTTTGTTTTCTTCCTTTTTAATAACTGTAATAGTATTCATGTTGCGACTGACTTATAGATTTGCTTGATGGCTGAGTTATCAAATGTTCGTTTGGTGGCTTACTTGCCACCTCATCACTTCAAAACGACGTCGGCTGTAATATTCCATGTCATCATTCCATGTCAGCATCATCAACGGAAATACGAAACGTCCCTTGCTTCGTTAACTCGTCTTCCCAGTCTGTGTTTAACGCCTGAGCGTTACAACATCACCGGAACTTCTATCTAATCATTGTTTTCTTCATTCATCTTCTCATTCATCTTCAATTTCTTTCATATTTCTCTCGATATGGTTGATCCCGTTTTGGTCATAGTTGTTTCCGATATTTGGGTTAAGAAACAGTGATTCGTATCTAACCCCGACGAAAGAGGGTGTAGAGCTGTGCAGCTAGAAGCGGAAACAACGCACGACAGGCTTTTGAAGCTGGTGGTCGATGATTACGGATTGAATCAGTCGACCCATCAGTTAAGGCTGAGTTACATGTTCTCCAACAAGACTATGAAAATATGCCGTTCGATACTCCACCAAATTATATCTCTAATGATCTAGAGTTGCAATGTTATCTAGATTTGATAAAATTCAATAAGCTACGTCTCTGTGTTGAGATTACAGCGAAAGAGTCAAGTGATATTAGTCGGAAGGACGGATCAAGAGGAAGGATGAAACGGCCTATTGAATCTATCTCAAGAGTAGAATCTAGATTCGAAGTTCCGGGGTGGGGGGTTTGAAGGTTTCTGTTACGATTATCAAGACGATGAAGCAAGGGACGATGAATCAGGTGACGATGAAGCAGGTGACGATAAAGCCTCTGACAATGAAGCAGGTGACGAAGAAGAAGATGATGAATTTTCTAGCCGGTTTGATGTTTTCGACGACTCCGACGGTGCCTCATCTGATGATGATAACTTTGCTTTATACGGCGAGCCTTAGAATAAAGACAAAGATTCACCGAAACTTCCTTCTAAGAAGAGAACTTAGACCATTGAAATGATCGGATCTGCTGGGAGCTCGACTAATTTAAGGTTGGAGCTGTCTACGCTAACACTCGCGGTAGGCCAACAATACCGTAGCAAATTCGAGTTGGAGTATCGACTCAAACTTCTGGCGATAAGGGATGGATTTGATTTTGATGTACCAACGTCTAATACGACTACAGTATATTACGAGTGTTGGGTTGACGGATGTTGTTGGAGAGTTCGTGTATCTAGACAAGGGGATGATCCTTATTTTTATGTTCGTATATACGATTCGGAACACACATGTTCTCTGACGGAACGTTCTAATCGATACCAACAAGCAACACCTGATGTTCTGGGAGTTCTTTACAGGGACTATCTTGGTGACGTTGGTCCGGATGTTAAACCAAAAACAGTCGGAATAATCATCAATAAGCATTTTCGAGTAAAGGTAATTACAATGTTTCGGTTGACTTACTTATTACTGTTTGGCTGACTTATAGATATATTACGGTTGACTTATGGATATATTTTGGCTGACATATAATTACATTCCGGTTGAGTTATGACCCTTTAAAGGCTGACGTAACATCACTTTGTGGCTAAGTTGTGTTATAATTTGCCTAAGTTGTAAATATATTATGGCTGACTTATCAATTAATATGTTCGTGTCAACAGTTGGGTTATTGGAAGTCATACAAGATAGTAGTTTTGAAAAACTGCCTTCTTACCTATACATGATAAGACGGGCAAATCCGGGTACAGTCGCGCGTCTTCAAATTGATTAGAGTGGAAGATTCAACTATATGTTCATTTTTTTTGGTGCCAGTATCGCTGGGTTTCATTACATGCGCAGAGTTGTTGTCGTCGACGGTACGTTTCTCCATGGTAGTTACAAAGGGACACTCTTGACAGCCCTAGCTCAGGATGGTAATTTTCAGATTTTTCCGTTAGCTTTCGGTGTAGTTGACACTGAAAATGATGAATCTTGGCGTTGGTTTTTTTACGCATCTCAAAGTTGTTATTCCTGACGCAACGGACCTGGCGATAATCTCGGACAGACATAAGTCAATAGGGAAAGGAATTGGCTGCTCGTGGGATTTGCACTTACCATTTGTATAAGAACATTTTGGTAAAATTCAAAGGAAAACATATGTTCCCTCTGGTGAAAAAAGCGGCAAGGTGTTATAGGTGGACTGATTTTGATGACGCGTTCAACGAGATTCAAGAGCGTGATCCTCAACTACATGCATACCTCCAAAGAGAGGGTGTTCAAATGTGTGCGCGTGTTCATTTTCCCGGTGATAGATACAGTTTAATGACTACGAATATAGCGGAATCAATGAACAGAGCATTGTCAAAAGCCAGAAAACTTCCCATAGTTCGAATGTTAGAAGCGATAAGACAGATGATGACAAGATGGTTTGCTGAACGGAGAGATGATGCGAGCACGCAACATACTCAGCTCACACGTGGTGTTGAGAAACTGTTACAGGTAACTCAGCTGTTATTAGTGCATAACTCAGTCCTCAAATAATGATAAACCAGACATAATGAGAATAACTCAGCCATAACGTATTTGGCTTTTTTTCTTTTTTTCTTCTCTCTAATAGGCCCGTGTCACCGCGTCAAGACTTATGGCTGTACAAACGATTGATGCTTTCCGCGTAAAAGTAACTTATGGAACATCTTTGCATGTTGTAAATGTGGATGCAAAAAAATGCACATGCCGTCTTTTCGAGAAAGAGAAAGTACCATGCATCCATGCAATCGCAGCTGCAGAGCATATGTGTGTGTCTTGTATATCCCTGTGCAGTTCTTACTATAAGGGCAATTATTTGGTCAATGCGTACGCTGGTGCAATCATGCCTTCAGATACGGAAGTCCATGTTCCTCAAATTGTAATTGACCAATCGTGCTTACCTCCGATTGTTGTGAACCAGCTAGGCAGGCCCAAGAAACTAAGGATGAAATCAGCAATAGAAGTCGCCGTTGAGAATAAACGCCCTAGGAAGGAACACACATGTTCTCGATGTAAAGAAGTTGGGCACAATGTTAAAACTTGTCGTGCATAGTATTGTTTGCACGAATTGTATGTGTCTTCTTTCCCTTGTTTGGTAACCGTTATATGTATTTCATGACATGGTAGACTCTAAGCACCGTAATATTTGCAATTTCTTTAACGTCCTGGCTGAGTTATTTGCAATAATGTCTTGTCATTTTACATGTTGCGGATGAGTTATTTAAATATGGAAGTCGAAATATTCGGTCATTTTACATGTTGCGGCGAGTTATTTAAATATGGAAGTCAAAATGTTTGGTCATTTTACATGTTACGGCTGAGTTATTTAAATAGGGAAGTGAAAAGGTTCGGTCATTTTACATGTTACGGCTGAATTATTTAAATAGGGAAGTCGAAAGGTTCGGTTATTTTACATGTTACAACTGAATTACTTAAATAGGGAAGTCAAAAGGTTTGGTCATTTTACATGTTATGGCTGAGTTATGTGGTTTTACGACTGACTGAGTTATGTGGTTTTACTTTTGAGTTATATCTAAATTATGTTACTTTACGACTGAGTTATGTGGGTACTTCAACGGCTGAGTTATATCTAAATTATGTTACTTTACGACTGAGTTATGTGGGTTTACGGCTATCTGAATTATGTTACTTAGCGGCTGGGTTATTCTATTATACGGCTGAGTTATAATATAGCTCAAAAATGAACATTTTGAAGGCAAAGGCAATATGAAATTCCCATAAATATTTGTTTGAAGGATACATAGGAGGAAATTAAAAGTAAACAATATTTAACTTGAAGCAGCATGACCCGATTCCTTCCATCTTGCATTAGTCGACGATCATTTTTATCTCTTGCACTTCTTCGATATTGGGTTCGACAGTCACAAGTGATATGGTCGGATAATTTAAAATCTTCACGTGTTTGGGGCCAGTATGATACCTAACGATCCTCCACCAAGTGAGTGCAATAACAATATTGTCATTGCGAAAAGATCGAAACCTGCTATCAAAGTCAACCACCATTTAGCCAACAGCCTCACATTTCAATCTCTCTTTGCTGAAACAGATAAAACAATGTTACAATTATACCCCTCTCAAGAAAAATACATGATGAAAAGAAAGAAATTTAAAAGGAATTGATCGAAAGAAATGGTACTATTTGTCCATAATCTTGAAGGGAAGTCTGAATCCGTCAATCTCGACACCATTGTGTGAGGTATTTCTCATACATCCGATATCGACGAGTGCACCAACCAAATCTGGGAGTATGAAATAAAAGTTAAAAACAGGCATGTCAAAGGTGAAAGTATGAAATATGCATTAGAAACGTATTACTTACCGACCAAAGTATTGGTATGAACGGTGTCTTCAATAATGTAGTCAGTAGGTGTGAATCTGTTAAAAAAGCAGTTCCCCTTGGGTCGGAACTTATGACCGATGTTGCTTCCATGAACTCAATCATGTAGTAGTGGGTTATTGCTCGGACTATTCCACTGTTTGGAATGACACGAAAAGTTGCGATTTCTTTCCATTGATTCTCTTTGAGCTTATCGAAGTAACATTGAGAAAAATATCTTTCGATTATAGCTTCAATTTGAATTCCCTATGAAAACAACATTTGGAGGGTGAGCTATATAGGAAATAAGATACGAATAAGGTTAAGTATGACTTGTAAGAAGAGTGAAGATTCCATTACCCACTCATCGACAAAGACAACCCGTAGTTCAAATGCGTTATCTCTATAAAACCTTTTGTACGTTCTAAGAACCATAACACAAATCGTCCATCCAGTTATGAAAGGAGACAAGTCGCAAATGCCGTCAAAATACGCCATGGTGAAATTCCGCGTCTTTGAAAAGTAAATAAATATTTTGATTGTGATCTTCTGTTTGTGAGAGTTTAGCCTTCGGGAGTTTATGGGAGCAGTCGTTTTTATAGGCGTATTGAATCGTTGTTAATTGGGCCGGATATAACCGTTAATCGGTTAGTCAGTAAATCAAATGGAACTTCAAGCTTTATTGACAACTTAGCCGTAATGTGGGTTAACTCAGCCGTAACAGTACAATTTGCCACCAAACACAGCCGTAACCTAGAAAACTTTCCTGCCAAACGGTAAGACACGTAACCTTTCGTATTCCTTTACCTGTCTTATTTTATAATTCTTGACAACTCAGTCGTAACATTGTTACATGTCTTGAGTGTAACTCAGCCGTAACAATATATTTTGCCGCCAAACTCAAATGTAACCTAGAAACCTTTCCCGCCAAAC